GTCTGGTGAGGAGCGGCTGAGGGAACTGAGGTTTAATCTGGAGAAGAGGAGGCTGAGGAGAGACCTTATTGGTCTCTACAACTACCTAAAAGGCAGTTGTAGTGAGGCCGGTGTTGGTCTCTTCTCCCAAGTAACTAGCGATAGGACAAGAGGTAATGGCCTCGAGTTGCGCCAGGGGAGATTTAGATTTGGTATGAGGTAAAACTTCTTTACTGAAAGAGTGGTTAGGCATTGGAACAGGCTGCCCAGGAAGGTGACGGAGTCACCATCCTTGGAGGTGTTCAAAAGACATATAGATGTGGTTCTTAGGGTCATAGTTTAGTGGTGGGCTTGGTAGTGTTAGGACCTGATGATCTTAAAGGTCTTTTCCCACCAAAATGATTCTATGATTCTAAGTTTTAATACAGCACGGTTAAGAGCGAAAATTTGGCCATGCAAATGCCCATCTATCTAGTTTTTAAGTGACCTTTCATGTTCATCCCTAGAGAGGTTTTACCCGAGCTACACACAATCGCCTCTCAAACCTGTGATCTGTAGCAGTAAGATGTTGCTCAGCACATTGCTGCTTCTGCCAAAGTTTACTGGATTAAATCTGTTCTAGTGATCAATAAACAGCTGCCCTGCTGTACTCTGAAGCATACTCTAGCTGCCAGAATACTGTATTTCACAATTAATAGTGCATTTACCTAAGCCTGAAAAGAGGTGAAAGAACAATGGCAAAGAAGCAGTGTCACTTGTTTCAGAGCGCATGGTGTCACACAAAAACCTGCAGTATGCCAGTAAGACCACAGAACCATTGAAGCACTGCTTATATTGGACAGAAGAAACAAGATTATTTTAGAGCCAGCTAGAAGATTTGATTATACAGCTTTCACTGGGCTTCATGAGTACTGGTGTCCAAATCTTAGGGTCTTTGGGAAAAAAGCCCACAAGCTTACTCGAATCTCTGCTCTTATTCACAAAGAGACAAAGACAACAGCTGGCATGAAGTAAACCATCCCCAAGGTAATTTTAGAACTTGCTACAAGTTTTGAGGAAACAAAACGTCAACTTCCCGTCTCAGAGCTGTAAGGCAACCAACTGTAACATTACCAATCTGAGATGATCTTCACGACCGGTTCTGGTATCCACCAAGCAATCCTTCCACCCTTCTTCACAAGGAAGGGAGTATACCAGATTTCAGACCATCATAATTTTCTTCCTTTTAAAGATTAGTTTTTAAAAAGATCTCAGGTCAACTGCAAGCACTTTTTTCTTTCCTGAATGACAGAGCACACCTGCAGTTTTTAATCTGTTACTGCTTCAATTCCTTGGAAAGACTGCATCTTCCATTATTTCCAGCAAATAAATAAGCAAGTTGAGGAACAAATCTAGAAGAGATTTAATTCAAAGCCTAATAGTGCTTTATAATCTGATACATCTCAGTTGGGTAAGACAGAATGCAGGACTATATATAAAGAAGGTATCTTACATGCTTAGCTCAAAGGTGTGCAACTATGAACAACGAGAGCTGAAAGAAAAAAATCACCAGAACTGGTCTAAAAATATCAGTTTGGGGAAACCTGCAAAGCAACAATCTGAGGTTCAGAACTACCAGCATGAAGACCCATTGGATTGATCAATTTGCTGTGTAAATTAAGAGGATCTACACATCACTCTCACTAAACGAAACTGAAACTAAAGCCACAGGACATTTTAGAAGCAGCAGTTGCCTCTGCACCTCCACATGTCCCCAGCAACCCCAATTCTAATCCGCTGCATGTTTACCGTAGTCGCTGTGCTTTGAGATGATTCTTCTTCTGTACAAACTGTCGACACAGCCAGGGAAGGCAGCCTGGATGAAGAGGATAACGTTGATGTCTCCATGCCACTGTCCTCATTTAGAGTGGAAAGACCAACCATGTGGTGTCCATTCAGTTCACTAGCTTTACTCTGAGCACAGGTCTGCAAAGAGCTGAGCAAAGTGCCATTGCGGAGACAGGTAGTGCTGTGGAAAGTGCTCGTGAGCTTTGATGACTTCTGATCACTCTCATCGGAGTCAAGTTTAGGAAAGGATAGGGATTTGATATTGCTCACTGAAGTGATAGGGGACAGGGACACTTTGGAAGACAAGGACATCTTTTCACAGTTTCCCAACTGTGGTAAAGTGATAAAGCCATTGGGTTTGTGAAGGGGCTTGAAGTCCAACGTGGCCCTTTCTATGGATGCCAGAACTTCCTCATCTTGCAACATAGACTCAGACCCTCCTTTGGGCAAAGTATTATCCAAAAGCTGGGCAACAATTGGCCCCGTAGTACCAACATGAATTTCAAGAATATTTTTTAATTCCTCCTTATCATCGATAGTTTTTAATTCCAGTTTGTCAAATGGGTCTTCTTCACATTCAAAATCAGCTGGGTTGAAGTCTGCTTTTGGACGAGGTGGACTGAGAACCTTTTGCTTCACAGAGCTGCTGTTGGCTGGTGTGGGAGTAAGGATATTATTGTGCTGCAGGCTAGCAAGGATGGGATTAATAGGAGGAGGCATGGCCTCAGGGCAAGGTCCCTCTGAGAACCCCATTTTGTTGCTGTCCTCTGAAGCTGCTTTTGAGTTCGCTAGCGCTTCTTCTGCCTTGCGTTCAGCTTCTCTCTGGGCAGCTTGAATTTTTTTGATATCTTCAGCCCACTCGATTGTTTTGTTTTCCAGTGAGAAGTCATACTGACCAGGGGGCAGAAACAAGAGGAGAAAAAAAAAAATCAATTATAAGGATCACAGCTACTGCTTCTAACAGCAACATAAGTAACACAGAATAACACCTACATGAATTACCATGGACAGGTATAATTTTTTTTTCCACCAGCATCTCTTGTAACCTACAGACTGGCAAACCTAGGAGACATCAGAAGTAGTTCATTTGGCCTCTAGCAGCAAAGCCTGGCTAGTCTGGATTAGAATGTCATATTTAGCCTTCTTCCTACATTTAGCTTTGCTTTAGAACTACCGATCATCCCAAGATCAGTCTCACAGCCCTCGCACCCTCTACCCCCAAGACAACAGATGTAGCAAGGTGGAGTCTAATGCATTACTGGACGGACAACCATACCCAGATCTGCCACCACTGAACTACCTTGGGTCCACAAGTTCCACAAGCCAATTCAGATGAGTATCTCAATATGGCAGAGTATTTTTGCATCCAAAGACCAAAACAGTATTACTCAGTTCCCCCTAAAAGATTCCTAAGGGACTTGAAATCAGAGTTTTACACTCACTGGTTTAAGAGGTTTTGGTATTCTTACCCCAGTGCCAGTTGCTCACCAGCCAAAGGGGACATACTGGCTACACCAATGATGACAACTACCTGCAGTAGCAAATCTTGCTGCAGTCACTGGCACGACAGGATCCCAGAAATTTTTCCCACCGAACGTAAGCTCCTTCAGGGCCAGGTTAGAGCAGGAAGGCATTTGTAAGCTACTTGCTACCAGTTTACTGGCCACTGTAGTGGCTTGGTTGAGAGGACAAAATGCTGAACAGATTAAATTACTTAAAGCTTTAACGTCTTATAAACAGCCTCAAATGCTCTTTAAATAACCACAAAACGCTCAGAGAACACAGCCTACAAGCTAAATCCAGGGTGTAGCCTACCTGTGACTCACAAGAAGACATAAAGTATCCTTGCCAGGATAATGGCACATAACCAAACAGGAATGCTCTTGCCATGGGACTGCTAGGTCATACAAATTCCTAGCTCTGAAGGGAAATGAGCCAGCAAGGCTCGCTAGGCCTCTGCTAGGCTTTTCTGGGACTCTCTGTGTGTGGTGCCATATCCTACCTATAGTGGGCTCCAGTGGGATCCTGGAGAGCTCTGCTCTTGTCTCAACTGTATGGACAGTTTTCCCTTCCCTTAGCTCTAAGGCTGCAAGAGATGTGTCATACAATTTATGAGCAAGGTGACTTTGAAAAAACAACTTACTGGCAGAGGTGCTGGGCATTACTCATTACACATTCTTTGCATTTTGTGTGTGTATATGTATATGGTCATATATGACCGAAATTGACCAAAGCCATATTTTTTTTTCTACTAAAAAAATGGGAGTGTGTGTATATGTATATGGTCATATATGACCAAAATTGACCAAAGCCATATTTTTTTTTTTCTACTAAAAAAATGGGGGGTATTTATATAAAAATATATGGCTTTGGTCAATTTTGCTTCTCTTCACTTTTTTTTTTTTAACAGCTCTCACTACAGCTGTAAAAAAGTCAAACTGCACCGCGACATGCAGTGTCTACACAGTCACATCACACCACGCAAGGCATTGCAGTCCAACTGGGCTTACTATACTTGAGCCTCAGCTTCGCAGGAAAATGGAGACCTAGCACAATGAAGTGGGCAACAGGGCATTGGAGACTCCTTTAGTTCTCCTGCACCAGCTTAACTGGGTGGAAATGTGTGTATTAGGACAATTAGGTAGTCATTTAATGGTTATAATAAAAAAAGCCATGATGTATGGTAATTGGGTAATATGCAACGCAGGAAAAAAAGGCAAAAAAAGCAGAACCATCTACATCAATCTGTCATAGCTGAAGTGAAAACAATCATCAACAGGGACTGCTGACCAAGGAAAATCACGGATCCAAATGAGAAAACATAGTTCAATTAGATTTCCTGTATCACCACCTGCATTTGGAGAATGTATTTTCAACAGTTATGCTAAAGCAATTGATTTTATGCTACAAAGAGTTTATGGTAACAGAGACACACTCCTCAAAGACCTGGAAGACATCCGTACCAAGCTGTAACCTGTTTGCCCTGCAGCTGGGAAAGAATTCCCACTCAGAACTGCACAGAAACAAGAACTAAAGATTTATTTCTTCATCATACTATTGTGAGAACCCAAAAAATATGGTCATAGAAACACATGCTACCCTCAAACAAGATTCTGCAAGTATGTCATACCAGGGGTGTATCAGGTCTTAGCATTTTTCCTCTTAAAAATGCTACTCAAGTTTAGTCATGGTAACATTTAGACTTGTAGCTATTACACAAAAAGCTTTTTTGAAGTAGATACACTAAAACAAATGCTGTAAGGCTTTTCAAAGCACTAAGAAGCAAAAGCTTTTTGCACAGCCTATCATATTTTTACCTCTCTATATATTCCATCAGATCTTCTGCAACTACTGCCTGACATATGAAATGGCATAACAGGACTGACAAGACTAACACTTGAACACGTATGCAAACTGGGACTACTTGCAATTTACAGCACCTCCTCTTGGGGGCCAGGGGTGAGGAGGAAGACGGCGGAAGGGCAAAATGCATCACTTACCTGGGCGTCTCTGACCAGCTGAGAAGAATCAGGCAGGCAGAAACCAATGGGTAATCCAACCTTCGCTGGGGTTTTGAATTTGTCTCCTATCTTAAATGGGACATCATCAAGATAACTGAAAGGCCCTACGATCAAAAAGCAGAAATTGTATTAAAAAACACCTTACGAGTTTAATGCATTCAATTAAGACTCACATTTCTGTATTTGGGAGCTATTTTATCTCTGCTGCCCTGATACACCAGGTGACTCAATACAAAGGAAGTTGCTTGATCAGAAATACGTTGAATCTGTTTGGACTTCATTACCGCGGTTTTGGTGTTTGGGGTTTTTTTGGTTGGCGCTTTTTTTGGTTGCTTGGTTTTTGATTTTAATGTTCATAACTATTTAAAAAAACCCCCAGCAAACCACAACATAACAATCCAACAAATGAACAGATTTCCAAGTCAATATACCAAATATCTTAGCTTCCCTTGTGACGAGACCATGCCTACATAACTGGAAGCTGAAGTTCTCCTGAACACCATTTTCTGTTACATCTCTATAAAAAGATCCATCACTTTGTCATATTCAAAACAGGCTTTAAAATGTCCCAACTTCAGAGCAGCTAAGACAAAGTAAAATCCAGGTTTTGGCATACGAGCAGGAAGTAACATTTGAACAGCAGTGGTCACAAGGCCAAAGTGGCTCAAAGTTCAGACACTCCACTTTAACCAAAACACTGTGCAATAGCTCAAGACTATTTAGCATAGCAATTCCGATTTTTGAAACAAGGCAATCTAACTTAATCAGCTGTCTGATCTGCGATCACTCCAACAAGAGGCCTCAGATCTATTTCATGGTCCATCTGTCCTTTATATCTCTCACCTACACATGGTATTTTAAAATTGTTTTAGGATGAAACTCTCCAGGCACCCTGCAAACTCATGAGGCAGAATCACTTAGAACTAGGCTATAGGTTTGTTTTCCTTGAGCTGCCGTGAAGAAGTATCAGAAAACCCACAATGTAAATTGCACTCAGTTTTTCAGTTAACTGAAAGGGGTGTCTTGGATCACTGGTCTAAGCTTTTGGAGTTACAGGCAAAGCTTCTGGCTGAGTATAACAATCTGAAGTGTTCCCCTAGCACTCATTCGTAACTTCGCTTTGAATGTTGCAGATTCAAAAAGACATTAGTGGCAACATCTAAGATGGTGTTCAGTGACTAACCTCCTGCTCAGTGAGCTGTGACTTGCCATTTTTATCTGACCCATTTTCATACTCAGATGACAGTTTAAGTACTGTTTGTGTTCCTTCACCGTTGACTCATCTACAAGGCAGCCACATGCTCCAAAAGCATGAGCAGCTTTTGAAAACAGGAACACCCTGTTAATTTGGAGTTAAACGTTTATGTCCTGTCATGACTTGAGCTCTCATACCATGCACCACACTGGCTGGTCCCAGAGTCCAGTTAGCACACAGGTGGTATTTCCTCCAGCTTTGAAACCATCAGGCTGAATAACCTACATCCCACCTGCACCATCAGGACAAAAAAATGCTCTAGGCAGAATATAAAAGTATTTTCACTGATCCTTACTGAGAAGCACACATTCAAGCATTACACAGCACAGCATCCAGATGGCACCTCAGTGGCCACCAACCACCACTATTTGCAACATAGCATCCAAATTGTATTTGAGGTGGCAATTTGGGAACCTAGGTACGCCAATGTGTTTGCTTATACAGAAACAGCCTTTTCTGCTTTGATAGCTGCCAGTTTAACTTCAGAATCTAGACTAAGGAATAAAAACCTTCCAGTTTCTTCCCAACACACTGCTTTTTTAACAACGATTGCTATAACCTCATCTTGAATATAACTCTGCTACAAAGCCCCCAAGCACACGCTAGGAAACACATCAAGTGTTTTACAACATTTGATGGTAAAGTCTTTCTGGGGCAAAACGCTGATGCACATAGTATTCACTTTGTTCCAGCCCAATCAGAACAGTACTAGCCTAGTGAAGCTAAAATCTGATCCAGAAAGCCAAGAACCCTTTTCTTTTCGTAAGGAGATGAACCTTCTGCCTGAACACGCTGATGGGTAAGGATGCAAATTGTTTTAAACAGCAAACTCTAAAGCAATAAGCAAAACCTACACATAGAAAGTATTATGCAAGCTGCTGTTTCAATAGTCACATGTTCAAGTGAAGCAATTAAAGGGGTTTTTTTAACGGTTATTTAATATGTCTGTTGGCCACTTTATCCTTTTAGCAGTGAGAAGCATATTGAGGAAATTCTGAGAACAGCTCTGGTAAAACTGTACCTGTCAGTCTGATCTCTGACACCGTGCACTATATGATACTCCTGGCCCAAGGAACTACAAGAGTAAGATTTCTCTCTGCTTTAGCATTATGCGTAAATCACTCATAGAAGTGTCCCCCAGTTTGGTAGCAAAATGGAAATATTTCAGATAAAATCTGTCACCGGTTATGAATGAGGAACAGTTTGAAACCAAGTGGAACTTAGTTTTTGTGGTCACACAAACCACACTTACATGATTTTCAGAAATTGTGAGTTAAAAGCTTTCAAGTTGTATAGTGATAGTGACAACACAACAGCAATATTAACACACTGCACTTGGTATAAGCCACGCTGTTTGTGCAACAGATGAGAGCTGCACTTTAGTGCTGCTAATTACTAGAAGTCAACCTTGAATTTCCAACTATTGAAATGTCGGGAAAGCATTTGAAGTTGCACGTTTAGGCATAGTTACAGGTGTAGCCTAAGAATACCCTTCAAGACAGGAAAAGGGTTCCTTTTTCTCCATCCATACCTTATGTTTCCATCTTCATCTCCATCTGAACACAGTCCTGAGCAACCTGCTCTAGGTGGCTCTGCTTGAGCAGTGGGTTTGGACATGATGATCTCCAGAGGTCCCTTCCAACCTCAACCATTCTGCGATTCAACAAGAATCCTCTAATCCCTAATAAGCAGCTTGACAATAAGTACAAGAGATGCATCAACTATGTTGACCAATTTCACCAGCCTGCCAGAGACACTGAGCTGAAGATAGCTGTTGGGCTACAAGTTTTACAGCAAGCCAAAATTCACTTAGTGGGATTAATTCTTAACAACCCTGGAGAAGATCGAAACAATTGCCCTGCTGATTTTGTAAGACATAAGCCAAGGCAGTTGCTCCACTACTCTGGAGCTAGCAGCAACTGTCTTGCAGCAGGACCATTGGGCCACAGCAAAGCATCTACAAATTAAGTTTTGATAGGCCATTTTTATTCATCCTTAACCATGTATTGAAGTGAAGCATTTCTTATCCTGTACTTCAACTTTACACTTGCAAGACTGAATAAAAAGCTCAAGGAAAAATGGAATTCCCCAGGACCCTCTTATCTGGAAGATTATTCAGGAAGATCAAGGCTGAGTTTCTAAGAGCAGAAGTTTCTACAGTACGAAAAATCATGTTAGAAACTTCACATGAACCTCCCAGCACTGTCTTGAATGACTACCTATTTGAAGAAGCTACATTATGCACAATGAACTGAACTTTAATGTTCCACAGAAACATTAATCCTCTCAAATTACACACCATTTTCTAAAAGACAGCACATGTGCAGGCAAAAAATTGTGATACCAAATCATTTGCATGACACTATGCATCTCATGCAGAAGATCTCTTCTTCACTTGCCTGCTGAGCCAGATTAGTCCAATTTAGGAAAAAAAATCCACTGCTAAGCAAAAAGCAAGCACAGCTCAATGATTTATTAAAAGCTTCAGTTTTAATCCAACTTCTCATGTGACTTCCACAAAAGGGAGCTACAGATCTAGTGTCCACTTCAGCAAATATCAGATCACTACTGCAGTTCAGATTTGATTTTGAAGGGGGAAGGGGGGGAAAGGGAACGTATCATTCTGCCATGAAAGAGTACGGAACAGTCACAGGCTGAATTTCAGTTTAACCAGGGAACAGGCACAGCATCAGCAAGCAACTATGCAAGAAGGAAGCAAAGACACTTCATTACTAACAAAAAAGTACTCAGGGGCTAAACAGATTAGTCTCTATGAACTGTCTACTCTGGAACATTACTCAGCAGCTCCAGTAGGATTCATCCTGCTGGAAAGACAAGGATGCCAAATTCCACTTACCATGAGAGTCGGATCCCAACTTCTTAGAAGCCATTTAGAACCTGAAAAACATTTTAAAACAGTTTTAACAACTTTATACATGTAGTGCAGCCTAGGTCGATGCAGTTCTACAGGGCCTTATCTCTAGATTACAGGACACATTGCAGACACTTGCTGTTTATCCTGTTCCCAAGACAGATAAGCAAACTTATTTCATAGCTCTGAGGACTGACTGAGCAGACAAGTAAGTTCGCACGGGGCCTAACAATCTAAACGGCAAAATGGAGGAAAAGGAAAAAAAAAACAAAACAACCAACCACCAAACAAAACCCACCACAGTCAAGAAGCAGTCAGGTTGATCAGGAAGTCAGAGAGTTCCAGATCACAGCGCTCAGAGGCCACTCTGTCCCAGCCCCATGGAGCACACCCTGCCTCCCTTTGCATTAAGAATAGCCCTCCCTACTGGAAATACCACACTGATCCTCTTCGGTTTAATCCCTGCTGCTCTAAAAAGGGACACTATCATATTGGGTATGCAGTCAGTCAGCCAGTGTGGCACTTGTCTAGACACACTGGGTGACACATGGATAACAATACAGGCATAAAAAAAAATAATTGGTACCATTAGGAAGATATTTTCAGACACACACAAGAAAGCTAACAAAAGTCCTCATCCACTGTCCACAGAATTTTACTAACAACTTTTAAAATTTGGATGCAAATCCTACATGGCAAAGATGTTAAACACAGAAGTGCCTAGCCAGCTTTTAACACAGAGCAGGCCTGTCCTCAGAAAGAGAGTTGTTTACGATAGAATTCGCTGTCTAATTAGTTGTCAGCTAAAACCCTGCTCCAGAATGCTTATGGTGTGTTCAGCAACATAACTGGTTCTTTTGCTAGATTAGAAGTACATCACAAGATCTGCCTCAAGACACCACAGCATAATTCTTCAAATAACTCAATTTGTAAGTCCTTCTATGACATTATGCATCACAAAGAATCAGAGTTGCCCTTTGTTTCTGAAGTCCTCCAGCTCATAGACAGAAAGGCCCAACAGCCATTCTTCAAAAATATTAACTTATCTGGTACACTCCCAGCAGCAGCAGACAGCACTCAAAGCATAACCTGGAGCAGATCTAACATTCACACCCATCATTCCTCAGTCATGGCCTCTTAGCCTCACTGCTTCCATTGCAGATTCCAGTTGCAAATGTTAACTTAAAGGAAGGGTGTCATAAGGTGAGGATTACGCAGACAGCTTAGCTATTCCTCCTGGCAGCTGCTGACATGAGTGGGGTCAAGAAAAGCCAGTTGCATGTACTTAGGAAAGTACCTTTTGCTATGTAAAGGTCCCTTTCAACAGTATGTTGAAATCAATATGTGAACGAACCCTACTGGCTAACAGGAACCCAACACACAGCTAAAGCCAAAGCTGTAGGAAGAAGATCACCTGGGTGCAGCCAGACTTCATGAAACAGTGAGCAGACGCAAGGCTACAGGGAGGTGAGTCATGCTGGGCAACTCCAGGCATACCTTGTACATAAAAGCCATGTGTCACTCTGCTCGACGTTTGTTGGGTTCTCCTCAGCACATCTCACCACCTCTCTCAATATTGGTATTATGTCCAAAATTACTCCACTAAGCCAGAGAACCGGTTTTGGCACTAGCTGGCAACTGCTTCTCAGAAGCAAACAAAATACTGCAGCTTCAAAGATATAAGAAAAAGGAGGTGAAACAGTGTCAAGCCTGCCATCTCAGGAAGGCTGTCAAGGGCAAAGCCACAAGACCACCCCGTACAGCTGCACATCAACTACTAGAGCTGAATAGGCTTTACCGGTCCCAGTGCCACAGAGGAGGAAACCAGACTGCAGTCTACCGCACAGGAAACAGGCTGCACCTTTCAGACACAGACACGCTGTCAGACAAGCTGCGACGTTGCTAGTTCCTCTGCATGAGAGTAGCAATTAAGATGTCAACTTGATTTGTTATTATTGAAAAAGCCAGGCCACATGTGAAATCACACAGCTCACCAGTCCTCTGTATGTCACAGAGACTGTGACACACCACCTGCAAGCACGTACGTACTATGGCTGCTCATCATCCACCACTATTACAGCAGAGCTGAACTAGGCACAAGGCCTCTACACACCTCCCTTGATTTATCTGAGTTGTTCTTACTTCCAGTTGCTATCTCAGACTGAAAAGCAAGTGCTCGTTTTCTATAGGATTTTGAAACTTCTAATGAGAGGAAGTAACATCCTCACGTTGGCAACTCAACTGACAAGGAGGTTCTTTCAATGCATCACTAGTTATCTACAGGCAACAGAGTTCATGCTGTCTACCTTGTTCACCAGGAGCAGCTTACTCCAGACTGTACCAGCATGAAGGACACCGAAAAGAAAATTCAAAGAGATCATTTTTAGCGTGATAACTTATATCCTCTCTCCAGCAGACCATCGCAAGGACACACTGCGTTTACATCTCACACACTGATCTTTGGTCACTGAACATTAAGTTACCACGACACTATCAATTTGCTGCAGGTACGTTAGTAGCAATGAGTACGAACCCTGTAGAACCAAAGACGTGCACACCTAGCATCCAGGGAGTTTTGCAGTAGTATATCAGTCTGGAACTGCATAAAGCCTTGGGTGCATCCTCAGTGCCAAAATTCCCACATAAGCAGTAAGTATCTTGCTTCTGTTGTCAATCCTGCAGTAAAATCCCAGTGCAGGCCAGGTACCTGCATTAACTTCAAGGTGCGGAGTGAAAAATGGTTCCTCTGCCATATGCAACACCTTATTTTAACTACAGAACTAGCGAAAGCACATCAGTAGCAAGCTAATCATGAAATGGACCATTCCAGAGACACAGTTACACTTTAGATTCAGGTAGCATTTGAGTTTATACCACACTAGCTCTTCCTAATGCACTGTGAGTGTGCACTTGTTAAGATACCAGTATTGCAGAAGGCACTGTCAGCAAACAGAATTGCTAAGCACTGCACACAGTAACACTAGAGCAGGCTGCCAGCCGCATTTCATCACTTTCCTTCCAAAGAAGGTTTAATTAAAATAGGGTCTTGTGACTAACCAGATTTGTTAGGCTATTCAGGGACCACTGCTACAAGCATCTTGCTGTTGGTCTGTCCTGCTGGCCGGAAAAAAAAACATTGCAGCCAGTTAGAAGGTTACTGATGGTGCTACTATGCTTCGAGGCATTATCCGAACTGTATTTCATTAGTCAAAGCTGTTACCCTGTGCAGAAAAGGTTTGCTTACCTTTGTTACAGCTAGAAATTTAAAGGACTTGCTCCCAAAGCCTTACTCCAAACTAACTAATGGACAATTGCAGCCCTATCACTGTGGCCTTTGATGTCCAGACTCCAGAACAGGATGCTAAAGGCCATCTGTGCAAACAGCACATGGGGGCACGAATTTTGGTCTGATGCTTTACTGCACATTTTAAAATTGACAAAGAACATACTTTATACTGAATGTAAAGTTTTTCAACACTGTTCCTGGGCTAGGGAAACAAGTTAGTTGAATAGTACTACAAGGTTTTCTTGCAGCCACCTACAAGCTCTCGTCTACAAATGTCAACCACCTTAGCCCCATTCCCCCCTTCTTGGTTGTGGCTAACCCTCTGAAGAGAGGATCAGGGCTACAAGTGCCTAGAAGTTATAAGCAACTTTAATGTCAGGTAATGCCACAAAATCAGCCTGATGTGAGCTCTTCCCCTCCTGTCTGTATGTTCATTTTTCACTTAATAACACCAGAGACAATTGGGCATCACTCTTAAAACCAGCCAGGCAGCGGAACACAGTATAGCAGAGCCCACGATGAGGGCAGACGACCCCAAGAGTGATGACTGAAGCAGATGAGGGAGACAGGGAAACAACTACAAATAAAAAAAAAAAAAACCCGCAAAACCACCAAACCAAAAACCCCACAAAGATACAGAAACAGAAGAGTGACGAGACAAAACTGATGGCAGAAACAACTGGCACAAAAAGCTAGATGACAAGCTGGAAAGGCTTGAAGAGACAGCATAGAGATGACCAAGACAGTTGACCTGGCACATCGCCACTTGAACCTGAATGACTACTATGGTAGCTGTGCTGCCAGACAACAAGGAGAAGGAAAAGAAGCATGACTTGGTGCAGTCCAGCAATTCCAGAGGGACAGTCTCACCAACAGATAAGAAAAAAAAATTGCTACCAAGAGTGACTCATGGGAACTGCTTGGAAGTTTTTTGTTATTTCCATGCTCCTTCTATTGGTGTTTTCCCTGAAGTTTGTGTCTACATTCCTTTTCTTCTGAAAGAGCTCTGACTGCCCAAGTCGGAAGCATCCTACCACTAACGGTGCCTGGAACAGCCTTCTCAGTGATAAATCAAGCCAATTTAACCATTTGTCAAGAAGAATTTGTCTCTTGTTGCTATATACCTCATTCTGGAGTGCAAGTATGTTTAGATTCCAGACCACATGAATTCTCTGAAGTTAACTCCCACCTACGATTCAGATAAATGAGACATATACTTTCTGTGGGTCAGAGGAAACCAAAATACCTCAAGTTATCAGCCATAATCAGCACATACATGATTTTCAGAGAAGAGAGACCTGATCCTGCAACTTCCATTTTGCCTGGTAATACACATGGTGTAGTCTAAATACACAGAACTGTGGATGTATACATTCAGTCGGAAAACTATAAAAAGACAAAAAACTTCAAAAAGATAAGACCTTTTCTTTCTTCCAATATTGCATTCATTAACTACTACTGATTTCATGCTAAGAAACAGTGAAAAGCAGTTTGATTCAAATGATTGATTTCTAGTGCATCACAGGTATTCCAGATCCAGACAGTGGTTTAAGTCTTCACTACAAATACTTGTTTTGGTGCAAGTGAAAGGCTGCAACTAACATCAGGATTCTGCATATAGCCACACTGTCAGGGGTTGAGGCTGGGCCGGCCACTAACGAATGACAGACACTCTCTATTAACTCCTCTCCCCTCCCAGAAAGGAAAAGGAGAGAGAACAAGGGAGAGAGACT